TCTAGCAGCAGCCTCAGAGATGAGCCATTCCCAAGCTAAGTAACTGAGGCGCAGTGAGAGTCACGTAAGACTCAAGTGTCTTCAGGGAGGAACTGCAAGATGACTAATGCTCCAATATCTGCTTAATTACAAGTGCATGTCGGTCACCAGATGATATCTAGACTGATTTTAAGGTCTGAAACTTTTCCTATGGAATATGATCTGGATATCATAAATGTGAGAATGAGGGAGATGCGTGTTGATAGCTTAGTGGGGAAAAAAAATGACAAAGTTGTAGTGGTTTGGAAATACAAAGTCTAAGACACCATACATTGTCCTCTGTGCTTTTGATCAGACATTTCTGAGTGTTTTAAAACTAATCTAAAATTTAATTTTTTTTTGTGAAGGAGGTATTTAAAGAAAAATGGGAGGTAATACGGGTTTGTCTGAAGTTACCCAGCAGATAAAGACCTGCAAACAATGGCTCGTGAGAGCCTATTTGTACTCTCAAATAATTCTGATGAGCTGCTTGCTTTTATAATCGTTCACAGGATGGGGCCCTGGGGCTGTTTGTATTATTATCCAGTAATGCTACTGGATTAATATGTCTGCGTAGTTTGTATATTGTAATCATGACTTAAATATAGCTCAATGCCAGGCAGGGTGAGGTGGCAGGTGGGAGCCTTGCAGTGCAGCCAAGGGGGTGACCAGGGAGAGGTGGCTGGCTCTGCGGCACCTTCCAGAGCTTTCAGCAAACACCAGAAACCATGCTAGGGCTGCTCTGTGAGCACGAAAGTTAATTCCACTTAAATGGGAGTTAAGGGTGGCAGGCTGAAACAGCTCTTGGGGTGGCTCGGGTGGGAAGCAGCTCGTGGCAGACGTGTAACAGCCCCACGAAACATTCATGAGAGTTGCTTTGGTCAAGAGTTGGTAATGAGGGTTCACGGTGGTCTGGAAAGTCTCTGAGGGCTGACAGGACTAGGCACAGCCTAGTGCAGCTTGATGGGAGCACTGCAGCGTCGCAGGGCAGGGACGCAGACGTTGCAGTGGGGAGTACTGCGGTGGGGCGACAGTCTGCACGCAAAGCGTTGGTCTGGCAGCGGGTTAATTTGTTTAATACTGCGTCCAGCTTCTGAGGTGAGGAGGGGGTTTCCTGCAGCTTCCTGGGATGTTTGGAGGAGCCCGGTGGAAGCAAAGGTGACAAAGTTTTGTTCCTTGCTGGTGTGTGGCCAGTGTCATCGTTGTGTGTCACATCGCAGTATATCTCACCATGAGTGCCTTCAGGTGGGGCACTGGCCTATAACTAGTTACACATACCTTCTCCAGGGTAATATGGTGTATTACTGCAGTGCTATATAAGTAATTATTTATAATACTGTACTGTGTGCAAAGAGGTAACCTCGACGAGTTTATTTCTGATTATGATTTGGCTGATGTCAGTAGTTCAGCTTCATCCACTCTATACTTAACTCTCAAAACAGCTATAATCTTGTCTCCTTTTGTTTTTCTTAGTGCACTGATTTAACCTCTAGTCAGGAGAAAATAAAGATCTGTTGAAAGGTTAGAGTTATATCTTGAAGGCTGCCACAAACAAAACCTAATTTTAGACTTAATGCAGTAATTCTAGAGGATGATGTCAATGAGGGCATAATTGAAATAATTTTTAACGTGAAAATCTTTAGAAATAAAACTTTACTCAGAGGTTATTGATTTAATTACAGTCACATTAGCTGCTTCCTTACTTTGGTCGTGTGTGCAAATCTTGGACAAAGGATGGGGTTTTTTTCCACTTGATGTGAATTCAGCCTGTTCAAGCTGCAGTGTAAATGGGTGGGATTCCTTTTGAACCAGCTGTTGGCCAGAAAACCAGTGAGTATGACTCAAAGCTGCTGTACAGAGAAGGAGAAGGTGTTAATTCGTCCAGGGTTTAAACATGCCTGTTCCTGGCACAAAATAGCGTGGCAATCATTTGACATCAGCCACCCCACAGAGCAGAATAGGACAATGTCATTGTCCATTATAGCTGGTACCAGTTCGACTTTGAATTTAAATGTGCTAGCAAACTAGAGTAAAGGCAGGCACCCTTCTGTTGCCTGCTGCACCTGTCTCCGTATCTATGGAGTTTGGGCTCTACTAGTTTTTAACTTGGCACCTTCTTGGCATATTGGGTATTTCTTTGAATACGGTGCAACAATTTTCCATGCTGCTCTTTGTAGCCCTAGAGAAATCACATGAGTGGATTGGTTAAAGAAGATAACGTTGCCTTGGTGCATTTTTCTGTAGCAGTAGGTAATGGATAGTCTATGTTAGTTAATAGTACTTGGACAGTTGTGATTTTGTGATGCACAGCTGCTCAGGCTGGCTGGCTGTTATGCCAATGTTTGTTGGGGGTTTTTTGTTGGTTTTTGTTTTTTTTTTTTTAAATCCACAGCTTTCTCTTATCAGAAAGTGAAAATCACAGCATTTGCTGATCTGATTTCTTATTCATTGCCATCTCCTCAGCCTGCCACTATGGCATTACACACGTTGTTAGTAAAAGAAGAATTAAAAAGTGCAGGAGCAGAAAGACATGAAGGAGAAGTGCTTTGCTGAAGTCTCCTCTGGACAGACTCTGTTCAGCTGGCACAAGTGGGATATGCATCTCCCCTTTTTCTCCTCCAGTGGGAGGCCAGAGGCTCAGCCTTTTGGAGCCAGCATGTTCTTTCTCCTTGCCAAGATTCAAATAGCCATAAAGTGTGGAACTTCCTTCATAAGGCCGCAGTCCCCCACCTTACTTAGAGTTTGGACACCTCCAGACACCATCAGCTTTTGGAAATCATGCTCCAATTTTATTTTCTAATATACAAATTTGAAGGAAGCCACTACTGTCCACTGGAAATCCAGACGGCATCAGAAAGCTAATGCAATTTCTCATATTGTACCTGTCGTCCCTTGTTCATTGTTTCCTGTATCTCTATTCATGTATTCCTGTTTCTAAAATTTTTTTCTTTCCTGTTGCTATGGTAAAAGCCCACCTAAAAAGGAAGAATTGTAGCAGCAAGATCCACTGACCTACAAAATAATCAGAACATAGTTGCTCTGTACAGAGCTCTGCTTTTAAAGTAACTGGTAGAAAATCTGTAGTGGGAAAGGGAGATAGCCAAAGTACAGGGACAATGTACATGATTTGGATTTAGTCAAAACTCCAATTCATGGGCAAAATTGCTGCTTCTGATCAGTGAATCTGTACAACTGGTTTCCTATACGCAGGAATTTTCCGTGATTGCAATAGTAAAAGTAGTGGACACCCAAAAAAGCAGTCTTGGGTTTTTGTTTCTGTTAATAACCTTCCTGCTCAAATGTGATTTTCTCCTCTGTGTACATGAATGTCATTGATACAGTGTTGTATTACAGTGGCTCATCCTTGCTGGAGGCATGGTTCTTTTCCAACAAACTGATTTGAAATGAAATGAAAACAAAACCATGAATTTTTTGGTTTACCTCCCAGACTGTAAAAATTGATAGTTTCATTAATGATTAACACAGCAGCTGGTAGCTCAAAGGAGATCTGGAAGAAAACACTGCAGTGTCTCCCTCCTCCAGTAAATATATTGGCTTAACAGTTTTCTGTGCTCGTCCTACCTTATTTCAGTATACACATTTGAATCCCAGCAGAGTGGATCTCTGCCTTCATACCTGGTTTAAGATCAGTAAGGATGCATTAGTTCGTAGTTGCATCAGATAATTTTTTGCAATGTTACTACTACTTACTGGTTTGCAGTTCCCTGTGATGTTAGCAGTGGTTTTTAGAATGCTTTTCTGTTTTGAACCAGTGAGGCATCTATGATTTCCAACATCTTCTTACCCACAGCATGATTACATCATTAGGAATCAAGTAAAAGTTCGCAACAATTTTGCATTTACATGGACATCACTTCTGGCATATTATTTTGCTATTGATAAGTCCTTGTTATAGCATTAAACTGTTTAAAAAATATACACATATATTATGGTCGCAAAATGTTTACTCCTGTGTTTACTCCACAATGTTGGATTACAGTGTGCCTGGGCAGCTGACAAAACTCTAATGAACCGGTCTCTCAAAAGAACCAGAGGGATGTTTTTAGACTAAGTGTTCCCAGAATGTGATTAACTGCTTAGCGCTCAAGAAATAAAAGTGCTAAAAAAAATCCAACCTAAAATAAAAACCCTACCACATAGCAATTGTGCATATGGCAAACAGCATACGATACAGTGATAAGAAATCTGGAGGCTTTTGCCTGTTACTCTAGACGATCACTGTGAGCATATATTCTCTTATACTGGTTTTGTTTTATGTTAACAAATACACCTCAGTCTCTGGAACCTTGTGCAAATTTTCAAATAGCTATCTCTAAATATAGGTACACTTTTTCCTCTATAAATGCTGTAAAATATCGGTGAATGCATGTATAGTACACCAGTTCCCTCCCTGGCAGAGATGGGGCAGATGCGGAATCTGTGCACAGTTATGGTGGATAATGCCTCCAGAGTTTATCACAAGGTTGTTTCCATGGTGTACATGATGATACCAACCAGCATGGTCCACCTGGCAGTCAGCAGGCTGATCCCAGCCCAAAGGGTGCATGTTTAGCCTGCCGTTTTTCAGGGCAGCAGAAGGAGCTGCTGCTCAAATGGTTGCACAGCACTTTCTGCGAGGAGATCACTCTGAGCCAGATGTTGTGCTCATGCCAGGAAGAGGATGGGAGAGGAAGGCAGAGGCAGGTCTTATGCTCACATGAGCCCAGCAAAGTCCTGAGCCCTTGATGTAGCTGCTTGTGAGACAGACAGCGGGTGGGAGGATGCTGTGGCCTGGGGCATAAGCGTGTGGTGGCAGAAGTGAGAGCTGCCACTGCTGCGTCCCACCACAGGACCTGAAATCCAGATCCAGCTGGTGTAGCTGCAGAGGCTGAAGTACGCTGGAGTGTTTGTGATTTTGGTTGGTAACACTCAATTCTCATTTGCTTTCACTGACCTGAGTGGATATATGCTTCTTTCATTAGAGATCCGAGCTCAACTCATCGAGCAGCAGAAATGCCTGGAGCAGCAGACTGAAATGAGAGTGCAGCTTCTTCAGGATCTGCAGGATTTCTTCCGCAAGAAGTCGGAAATAGAGATGGAGTATTCCCGAAACTTGGAAAAATTGGCAGAGAGGTTCATGGCAAAAACAAGAAGTACAAAGGACCATCAGCAGTACAAGTAAGAGAGATTTCCTTCCCCCTCGCCCGCATATTAGCCATTGCTGGAGTGCTATGCTGCTCTCTGCTTCTGCTGGTTTTGACTACTGCTGGGTTGAGCCCAGGTTCAAAGACACATTTAAAATTCCCGCCCCTATTTAGCAGCGTAGCAGTCTCATTGCAATTGAAGGTAGCCGGGTGCCTAAATACTGTTTTGTTGATTTGGCCCTCTGCAATTATTCATGTAAGTTTCTGTCAGGTGGTTTCAGTTTCTTAAAAGGTAGGCCGCACACATATTATCCCTAACCTACCATATGGAATTTAAACCACCCGAAATACAGCCAGTATCTAGATGAGATGCCCCAAAAGGGCTTGAAAGCTGTGTGCTGATCTGTTGCAGTGGAGTTGATAGGATTTGAAAGTATCTAAATACAGGTCAATCACCATCACAAAAAAAAAGGACAGGAATTTTGGCAAAAAAGGCATTAAGAAATAAAACGATTTTGATTTGTTGTTGCATGTGACCTTGTGCTACCTCTTGACCCCTCTTATTCCTGAAAGTGAATATGATGTGACTGTTATGCCTTGCTTACAATTTAATGTACCCTTTCATGGCATAGGAACTTGCATGCAAAACAAAAGTGGTCAGATAGTATCTGGCAAAGCATGTGTACAGCATGTTTTCTAAAGTGTTTCAAATGCATTATTTGTTGGCATAGTCTCGTATGCTTATTTTCCTGACTTGAGCTGATTAATGAATGCATTTGCCTGTTTACCAATATTTTGTACCGGGTCCTGCACTTCGGCCACAACAACCCCATGCAATGCTACAGGCTTGGGGAACAGTGGCTGGAAAGCTGCCCAGAGGAAAAGGACCTGGGGGTGCTGGTTGACAGCCGGCTGAACATGAGCCGGCAGTGTGCCCAGGTGGCCAAGAAGGCCAATGGCATCCTGGCCTGTATCAGAACTAGTGTGGCCAGCAGGAGTAGGGAGGTGATCGTGCCCCTGTACTCGGCCCTGGTGAGGCCGCACCTCGAATCCTGTGTT